TCAATTTCTTTTAAAATTGGATAAAGTTTGAACCAGTCAAGGTCTTGAGAAGTATCACGTTTTTGTTGTTGGTTTTTGTTGTTATTATTACTTTTTTTAGGGAATTTTGCCAAAATTTTTTTGAGAAGTTTTAATTTTTCGATTCTGGTTAAGGAAGTAAGTTTGATTTGACAGATAATTGCTTTTTGTTCATAGGATATAGGTTTGGTTTGAGAAAGATGATGTAGTTTGATATCAAAAATTTTAGCTGTGCAAATTCGATGGATAAGTCGAGTTTTAAAAATAATAGCTGTAGTATAGTCAGGTGAGTGTTGGTTTTTTTTAGATAAGATATAAGGAAAACTTTTAACTTTGCATAAAGCACAAGTATGTATATGTTGAGAGTATGGGATAATAGCAATTGAATCTGGATTGATATTGAAGGAAGAAAAAAAATAGAAGGGTTTGGTAATTGAGCTGGTAGTTGTTTAGGAAGAGGTGATGCAAGCAAGGTGTTGCTGATTTTGTTAAATCGTTGTACTGAAATGATAGGTGAGGTCTGCATGCTAAAAGAACCTAGATCAGTAGATTGAGTAATTTTAAAGAAATGAAAAGTAAAGTTTATGTGATATTGTCTATACAAGCATGTAGTAATGGCAGGTTGAGAGGGAACTTTAAAGTAGTATTGTTTTTTCTTAAGACTTTCACATTGATTTGGGTTAACATCTGGAGGAAGTACTCTAAGTTTAGAGATATCCTCATTCATACCAAGACCGTGACGACCTTGATATTTTGAGTAGTAGTAGTCCATATCATAAGAATCAGGATCGGTTGTAGTAAGAGTAAACATTTTTTTAAACTTGCTTATAGTTATATAATAAAATTTGTAGTTGTATTAAATAGAGTTTTTCGATAGCTATTAAATGAGCTAATTTTTAGTTTGTATAACATAAGATGGTATGTGTAACCAATTTATAATATTGGTGTAACTGGTGTGGCTTATGGCTGGTAAGGCTGGTGTGGCTAAGGTGATACAGGTTTGTGATTTGCGTTATGATTCTAAAAATAGTTAAAATTTAACACAGAAATTTGTGTAAGTAGAACAAATACAAATATATAAATATTAAAATTTGTGTAAAATTAATTGAAATATAAATGGAAATGTTAAAATTGGTGTGATTGGAAAAAACACCAATTAAATTATTTAAAAAAAACATGTTTGGAGACTGGTTTATTTGGGGTAAAAGAGAAAAAAGAAAAAATTTTAGAAAAAGTTTTCTAAAGAGAATTTAAAGTATTTTTGCGATAACTTGGTCAATATGTATCTATTTAAGGCATACTATATATCAAAAGAAAGCTCTATTTGAGCTCTTTTTATTTGTCTTAATTAGTGGGAATAATTTACTTAGTAAAATATTGTGTATTTTCAATTATTGTATAAAAATTAAAATTAGTTATATCTCAGTGAAAAAAGGACCTAGAGATATAAAATTTGGCTGCCTAAATGTAAAATCTTGTAAGAAACAACTTTACTTAGATGCTCCAAAGAGGTTGTCTTAATAAAATTTAATGAAATAGTTAATTTTTTGTAAGAAGTTTTGGAACAAATGATCATCGGAAAGAGTTTATAGATCGTTCCTCAATAAAAGCTTTTAATTTTAAAAAATAATTTTTAATAATAATTTTTGGCATTGTTAAATCATATCACTAGTGTTCAACACCACTATAATTTTTGCTATGAGCTGCAGTGTAATGTAAAAATCAAGTGTAACATAAAAATTATTGTTTATTTTTTAAAAAATGAGCATATCTCAAAAATTTATCTATGAAACTACCTTTGGGGCTCTAACAAAAAAAATTTCTTGCAAAATTTTGGTATAAGCTATATCCCATCCCAGGCCTCAACCCTAACCCTAATATTAAACAAAATTTAATTTTTGTTTTGATAAAAATTATTTTAATCTACATATTACACAGATTTTCATATGACTAGTGTTGAATACTACAGGTGTGATTTAAAATTTTTGATAATTTTTATATTAGAAAATATCTAATTTTCATTATAGGTAATCATTACCTGTGATTTTTAATATATAACAAAAACAAAATAATTTTCATTAAAGCAAAAAGTAATATTTTTTATAGTTAGAGTTAGAGTGAGGTTTAGAATATACATGCCAATGAAATTATTTTAGATTTTGAGATATGAAATTAAAATTTGAAGATGAAATTGTTTTTGATCTATTTTATTTAAAAAACAAAATTTTTTGATACTTTTTTTGAAAAGATGAAATTATAAGGAATATAACTATCGAAATTAAATTTCTATTGCATATAAAAAATTCTAAATTGCTTTAATGGAGACAAAATAGAGGTTTTTTGAAAACCTATTTCGGTGGTATGTATAGTTTGGGATAAAGCAAGAGTGTTGCTTATAGTAAAATTTTGCAAGGAATTTTTATTGTTAGAGCTTCAAAAGTGGGTTTATAAGTAGAATTTTGAAATATAAATGATATAGGTGATGATTACCTGTGGTAGAAATTAGCAAATTCCTTTATATTATTAGTTAAAATCAATATAATACAGTATTTAAAAAATTTTGTATAACTATAATAAAAATAGCAAAAAGTTATATAATTCTTTTTATTTATAAATTATTATATATTTGGATTTAAACACTTTATATATAACTAGTAAAATTTTTAAATTATTGTACAAATCTAATTGTAACTAACAAAATATTACTATATAATATTTAAATTGGTTTTATTTATTAACAAACCATAATATAAAAACAACAAAACTTATATATATAATATAAAATTATAAATACAGTATTTCTTTATATAATAGAAAAATATATATATACAGTATAGTGTTTGTATACTTTAACCACTATTTAAATTTAGTGCTACGTATAACAATTTATACACATCAAGACCATAATTAAAACTTTGTTTTAATTAATAAATAAAAATTTTCTAACTAAATATATATATATATATTTATAATTCAGGTTAAAATAACTTAGCCGTTGTAGTGAATCTTTTCTACGTATATCATTCTATAACGTAACAATAAGAACTTAAATTGTTCTAAAAAGTATTTCTACGGCGAAAGGCTCTTTATAATTAGGGTAAACGGTGCATTACACAAAATTGTCAATGTAGATCACATAACGGAACGATAGGGGTTTGAAGTGTATAGGCAATTTTGGTTTCCAGTGGGATTTTGTAATAGTAAAAGTTTCAGTGACACTATTAATTTTACTTCCAGAAGCCTTCTAGCGGCATCCAGTGAACTTCCAGTGCCAACACTGGTATAGGGCATTATTCATCTAAAATAGATTTACAAATTGGTATTTTTTGAAGCGTAAATTTCTAATTTTTATTAATCAAAAAAAGGGGTCCGATAACTGATTGTGGTTATTGTATTGTATAATGTATCGAAATAAATAAAAAAAGCAATAAATTTAATGCAATACTTCTCTAACGTTAACATCATTCCACTTACCCTTAGTTTTGTGATCAGAATTATACATTAATTGAGTAATATAAACCACCAATCAAACTTAATAAAAATCACATGCTATAATGTGTTTGGTTTCTGAATGTACGCTTATCTATGTTGGTCCGACAATGTGCATTTAGGGTTTGACCAAATATTTTAAATTAACAAAGGAAGTTATATTTAATAATAAACAAACATAATGATAAGATCATTACTACGTATACCAATATACCTTTTACCAGATAAAAAATTTTTAACGTTTTAAACAATTAATTATTATTATTTTACAAGTGATCATATTAATTTTTTTTTTTTTAAGAAAAATTTTTCGAAAATTGACTGTTTTAACATAAACGAAACTTTGAAGATTACAAAATAATAATTGTTAACGTATAAAAAAAGTTTTATATATTTAAGAATTTAGAGAAAAAAAAAATAACAACCATATCGTCTTTTGTGTGGTGTGCAAAGCACAAAACTTTATGATGGCACGTTGAATGTAAATAATCTGGTATGAAACAAGATTAGAGAAGGGGAGATTGCATTTTCTTTTTTCTTTTTTTTTTTTTTATCCAAATATATATGTCTCAACATCCCATAGTTAAATCTATAATGACTAACATAGTTCATTACACAAAAAAAAAGTAAATTCACAATGTCCTTAAAAAGGAAAAAAATATTCATATGCCATCAGTATAAGTCAAAACTAAGAAAAACAAACTTTTCTACAAATCAATATTGTGTGCGTGCTGTTTGCATTTTGTTACTTAACTACTATAAACACACTACTACCTAGAATGAGTGCGCTGTTTCTAAAATACTACATTAACAAAAAAAAAGGGAAAAAAGAGTATATTTATATTTTCACTACTCCATGGGGGAAATAAAATGTTCCTTAACTTAAAAGCAGATCGTTAATTTTGTTCGTCTAAGACGTGGGCACAATTAAAAAGAGATTAACAACACGGCCAACAACTTGCTTTTTCGTGTGACCTCCTTTAGATCGTCTGACTTTTTGTTAGGTCAAATGTTATCTTCGCATTAAAGCCAACCCACAAATAAACAACCGTCAACGCGCAAATACAAGCACAAACATTCTATAACATAACCCATTAAACGGGAGAGAAGTATAAAGAAAAAAAAAAAAATAACAATAAAATAAAATAAAAGCAATAGTGTATATACCAAATGATATATACACAAAAAGAAACAAGGAAAAGAGAGGAGTGAAACTAATATTGTTCATAGCATAAAAGCGTACATGTCGCATTTTTTGAGGGGTAGCTTAATGCTTCTCTTTTTCTCAGTACCATGGGCTTCCATCATCCCTCTTAACTCTGAATGAACTTACGTAATTCGTATTCGATGGGTTATTCTTAGTCTGACTTCGAAGCCTGTAACATAGGAAAATAATTATAGAATGATAAATAAAGATAAACAAGCAGATAGATTAAAAAAAAAAGAGTATAAATAAGTGAATAAATAAATAAAATAATAATAATAATATAAACTTACAGTCTATCCGAAGTCATAACTCTGTTATTTTCTACTGTTGGAGCACTAGCATCTTGGCCCTTGTTACTACGCCTTGGAGTTTGCGTTAGCCGCGAAGACCCACTAGCGATGGGTTGCTGTGGTGACGTGTTAGCTCGTGTAGAACTAATTCCGGCGGCACCTGAATAAACTTGCTTACTCGAAGGTTTACGATTACTACTTGGTGCAGCTACAATATTGCTTGTGTTATTGGCTTGTCGCATAGCAGAGTGTTTCTGACTTTTAGGATCTTCTTCAGGTTGTTCAGCGACAACATTTGCATCATCAGGCATTGGCAATGATGGATGCACTTTATTAGCATCTTTTTCCTAATAATAGGACAAATAATATTAAGAAATGAGAAACAGTAAAAATTTAAAAAAATAAAATAAATAAAATAATTATAAAATAAAATTGCACTTGCATATTTAAAAATTGTCCAGTCAAAAACATAATCATATTGAAAGCCTTCACGGACAAATAAATCCCTGAATAACTTTCTCAAGTAACTATAATCAGGTTTGTCGTCAAATCGAAGCGATCGTGTATAGTTCAAATAGATAGCAAATTCATTGGGAAAAGTACGACAAAGCAGTTCCGTTGGTGTAGTCATTTTCTTCTCCATGATACGATCGTATTTCTGTTTCTTAGTAGCAGCTTTGAGACCTTGCCATGGAAGCGAACCACGACAGAAATACATCATAACATAGCCTAATGATTCAAGGTCATCACGGCGAGATTGTTCTAAAGAAACAAAGGAACATAATACAAATAAAATAAATAATAATAATAATAATGGTTAAAAAGAAAAAAAAAAAAGATTTTAAGAAGTACATAATGTTTATAAAATAAATAAATGAATAATATACATACCGACACCTAAATGAGTATTGATGCTAGCATATCTAGCTGTACCTGTTAAATTCTTATTTTCTCTATAAGGGATGTGTAAGTGTGTCTTTGGATCGCGGTATTTTTTCGCTAAACCGAAATCGATAACATTGACTTGATTACCGCGTTTACCAATCCCCATCAAAAAGTTATCTGGTTTAATATCTCGATGAATGAAGTTTTTGGAGTGAATGTACTCAATTCGAGAAATCTAATAGATTGATAATAAATAAATTAAAAGAACGAAAAAATAAGTAAATATAAAATAAAAGAATTGTAAGTTGATAATTAATTAATTAGTTAATTAGGACAAATATGGAAATTCTAATCGTATCATACCAATTGATCAGCCAACAGTAGTACCGTTTTCAACGAAAATTTACGATTACAGAAATTGAATAAATCCTCCAAAGATGGACCCAATAAATCGATTACCATTGCGTTATAATCGCATTCAGTACCGTACCAGCGGACGAACGGGATACCCACACCACCGGCCAGTGTTTTATAAACTTTTGCTTCATATTCTAATTGTGGATGTTTAGCTTTCGTAGATTCAAGTTTGATGGCAACTTCTTCATTATTAATAATGTTTGTACCTAAAACATTAAGTCAACATGAAAAATTCATAACATTAGTAAATCGTAAAATGTAATTTAATAGAGAAAACAAAAATAAACCAGATTTTTATTGTCGTTAATACTATTTTATTGCTATTATTATATTATTTTATATTACCATTTTATTATTATATTAATTTATATTATTACTATTACTATTATTATTACTTGTAACATACCGAGATAAATATCACCAAAAGAGCCAGAGCCGATCTTTCTTCCTATCCGGTATTTATTTCCCACCCTCAAGTCCATAGCCATTTCGTATAAATGTTATAAGTATAAAGAGAGTGGTGGAGCTGTTAAAAAAGGTTGTAAATAAGTAAAGTAGAAAAAGACAAAAAATAGCCAGGTAAAAATAAAAATAGTATTGTAGACTATGAGGAGGAAAATGTCAATTAAGAATTTAGAAAAAGAAAGGCTTTGCGCTCTGGGAGACAGTAAAAGGTAGAGCGCACCGGAGTTTGATAACAACACGGGAATACAGAGATTAATTTACCTGAGAGATTACTACTGTTGTTACAAGGTTAATTAATCCAAACAACTCGGTGGGACGAATGATGAACCGCCGACAAAGTTGCGCAGTAAATAATAGAGTAAGTAGCGGAAGACGAAAGGCCAAATATGTTGACTGACTTGAGATTATAAACAAACAATATGGCAAGGGTGAATTTACTCTTTTTTTTATTTTGTGAAAAAGAGACAACCTATATGTTAAAGTCAAGACTTCAAAGGAAGGTGGAGTTATTTTGAAGGGATGTGAGTAATAATTATTACGGAAATTTTTGGGGGGTCAGAAAATGCAGTGCTATAGTGTAAAGCAATTCTAGCAATTCTGGGATTTTCCTCTCCTAGTGGTAAAATACTGATTTTTTTGGGGGCACCACATTCATTATTTGGAAATTTATTGGACGATACACAAAGCACTATGAATACGTATAATATGACACGTACAATACCATCGGTATGTATATACGTACGTACCGTCGTCGCATAAAAAACTAATAAGCTAACCGCAGCAAGTACAGAAGTAGAATAAATTGTCGTTTTAAAGAATTTTGACCATAATATCCAATATTCACAATATCTGATATCTCAAGACTCTTTTTTTTTTATCGTAATTGTTGATAGGGTACAAACAAGCATCACATAGTGGTATCACATACCCCCTAAAAAAAATAAATGATGGTACTGCGACAACTACGACTACTTTAGGAGAGATACTCCATGAAGAAAAATACGTAAGCGTAATTTAATATATATATATAACGATAAGTCGAACATAGGAATTTGGAGTTCTAATCTTGATTTATTTTTAACTCAACACTACAGCCACAAATAATGTTACCATATGACTTTTTATCATCAGACATTCATAAGACCAATGATATTATTCTAGTTATTACTGTTTTAAAAGAAATAATTACTCGTCCCTAAAATACCCCCCAAAAAAAGGACAGTAAATAGATAAAAGATGGTATATCGATATCTCGTAAACTTATCAACGGAAATTCAGGAAATTCACACAAATATTGCAGAAAATCATTAAAATTATTAAAAATTGATCGTTAAAGTATCACACATCCTTTTTCTAGATATATTGCGTGTATTCAATAGTTGGCTTACGTAGGACAGGCAAAAGATTTTTGCATCCTTCATGAGTAAATGAACTTGTTTCCAAAATACTGAAGTACCGAAGATCCCGTACCATCACGATCACGAAGAGTAGATGATGATTGTCCTCAAAATACGGAAAATAGTTGGCGCATGTCTGGCATTCCTTTTGTAAGACAACAAAGAACGATTTTAATTTGGCAAAATGAAAATTTCCTGCAATTGAAAAATCCAGAATTTGGCTGAATTTTTTCGTAAAGCCACCAACATAACTTGTTTGCCCCAAAGGTAGGTATTACAATTTTTGTATTTCAGTTTATGTTAATTAAGATTTGCCACATGCTCGTTAGCGTGTCGGTTATTATGCAACTAAAAGCCGCCCATCTTTACAAGTGTGTTTCCGGCAGAAACATCGAATAATTAGGTAAGCATTTTAAATTTTCGGTATCGATCTTCGTTATTATGTGTCACGTGAATGGTTAATTATACGTAGCGATAGCACTTGGATAAATTTGCCTATTATCGTATGGGCCGATTTTTTCGATTTTTGTCAAATTTGGTTTAATTCTAGTCAAATTTGCAGATCATTGGGCCCTTGTAATGAGTTTTAAACCTCATTACAAGGGACAAATTATCTGCAAATTTGACTAGAATTAAACTAAATTTGGCAATTCTGTGAGACACGTATCCCACGTACGTACGTATGTGTCATCAATTATTAGCGTTATCTCTTATCGTTATTCCACAACCACTCCAGAAAAGGAAATCACGAAGCATCAGCAAGTCTATTTTATGAGTCATAAAAAAGTATGTAATTAATTTTGCTTCTTTTGATGTCTGCACGAACTAGTATAAACGCGATTAGAATCCTGATCAATTATTAATATCGATATTCCCCACAATATTGCCGCATCAATGTCTACTGCTGACTTGAAATAAACAGTGTTCAAAGGCAAAAAAAAGTATAAAATAGAGTTCCAATCCGGATTAATCGTCATCCATTCATCCGTATCTGAACTATCCAAATAATCCAGATCGGATAAATTCAGATTGGATACTTCGGATAACAGATAACGGATATCTGATAATTATCCGAATAAACACTTAATGGATTGGAACTATAGACGCTGGTGAAGCCGGTGAAACTCTTGGTGAATGGTGGTGAAAACTGGTGAAACTGGTGAAATTTAATATAACAGCCAATCAGATTTTAGAGTCACCAGTTTCACCAGCGTTATCTAGTTCCACCAGCATCTATAATTGGATCTCTATATAGTATAAAAAAAGGGTAGTTTTTGTTTTTGATAGTATAGCGATAGTGGTAGGTGTCAATTCACTGGTGGCGCGTATGGTGCGTGAATAATGTTACTCCTGATATAGTAAAGATTCAATGAATTCTTGAATTATTAATTTCTGTTCAATAACGATAAGTATTTAAGCTATAGTGAAAAACTTTTTTTCTTAACTCGATGACGAGAATCACTTGTACTGATATAGAAGTATTAAACCATTGAATTTCACAAAACTTTAAAAACAAATTACCTTTGATTATGGAAATATGTTCAGTCTTTTATAGAAATGAATGATGCAGTGATACAATACGTATAAAAGTTTATGATGTTCTCTTTGTCAAAGATTACAAGATGGGGGAAGTTTGCTGATACCTTACATTCTTGATTAAAACTTGTGTATATTTCTATTTATCGCAAAAATTGATATTCTAAAAATAATTACGGAGATTATATCAACCTAATTATTTTTGCATAGTGAAAATAATTTTTGATCCATAAATTTGACGATCGTACTATAATTTTTAATTCGCTAAATTCGGTATGCGAAATGAAATTTAATTGGCAATTTGAAATTTTAGCAACAGTTTTTTGTAATTAACTATATAATGTTTTAACGCCATGCATTATTAAAAATGAATTGTTCTTTGTGATGTATGAACAGCAAAAAACGTTATTAAAATGAATTGTTTTTTTGTACATTTCAAAATGAATTATTCTGTGTGAAATGCGAACTATAGATGCAGACTTATGATATCACCTATTACGTCCTATATAAAAAAATAGGTTTATAAAATAAAACGGTAACTAATGATATAAATAAGTCTGCATCTATAGTACGAACAGCAAAAAACAGTAATTTTTTAAAGAGCATTGATAGTTTCACACCCTTTTATGATAATGCCAAACCTCTGCTAATAATTCTAATTTTAAAACCCTAACCAAAATTCTAATAATATATTATATATTAATATATATTAACAGAGGTGTGGCAGTATCAAAAAAGGTGTGGAAATATCAATTTCCTTTTTTAAAAAGCGCCAATTCTAATCTGTGTAATGAATTTTGATTAGTTATTAAATTTATTATTAAAAACAAAAGTTTATTTTATTTTATTTTTTTATTTTTTAAAATAAGGTCTTGCTTTTTAGTTTTTTATTAATATTTGTATTTGAAAAAACTTAAAAAATAAATCGCGATTAAAGGTATAAAGATAACAAATTTATTAGTAGAAATTGTTAAAAGTTACTATATTATAGTTTTTTTATTATACAGTAATAAAATAAAGCTACTGTAGCTTATAATAGAAGTTTTTTTTTTTAACTTGGCAAGGAAAGCCAGTGAGACTTTATTAGATCTACTTATACTGTAAGTATATATATAATTGTTGAAATATATTACAACCAATAACTAGACTATACTAATCTAACACAGCAATTTAACATTTATTCAGCTGTCTTAATGGGTATCCAAATATATCCTTGTTGCATTACTAGTATACTATAGCCAAGACCAACACTAGTAGTCAAAGTATTTTCTACTTTAGAGAAATATTGCTATTAAATTACCTATCAGTAAGAAAGAATTAAACCCATATCTGATGCTATTTCAACATTTTTAATCTATTATATCTAACTAGACTATATTTTTTACATTATTTACTTTTTGCTTTTATACAACTTTTTTTTTTTTTTTTTATAAGGTATCTTTTGAGATTAAGCTTTATTGATGTTTATTGTTGATCATATGAGTCTACATTTTAGTATTACAACAAAAAAACTCTAGTTATATATACCCATCAATTATTCTAAGCTAAGTATGTTTATATCAAAATGCTTTTACTATTTTATCTGGACTTGATTACCTTGTTGGTTGCTTATAAGTAGACATAGTGGCAGTCTTGCTAGGTTCTCCCTACCTACAATTTGGCTAACTTAGACTTTAGTAACTTACGCTGAGTCTGAGAACAAGTGCTTGCAAGCTGAAATCATTACTATTACCTACTTCTGCCTTTGTAAAGTTTACTCAAACTTCAGTATTCACTTTACAGATCATCACTGACTTTTCTGATCATTAACTACTACCCAAACTTCTAATTCAGATAGCTTGAGAAGGATCTTCTAATATTCTGATTGAATCCTTTTTTCTCATATTATACATGGCCTGGTTGGTATTAGTATTTGTCAAACACCTGGTTCTTATCTGGTTTACTGCCGGTGTCTGGTTTGCTGATGATTTCTCTTTACATAGTACCATCAAAGATCTGTACTACCTCTCTACTCAGAATTTGCCAAGTGGGTTTCTATATGCTATAGGTCCGAGCTCTGAATTTACATAGTTGCATAACTCTTGCATTATACAGTCTTCTAAAACAAGCTAGTACAACCAAAGTTACAGATGCTACTATCTCTCAAGATATCACACAGTATATTATAATACAGTATATTTTATAAATTCCGAATTTTATTGTCAAGTGGGCTTCTATATGCTGTAGATCTGAGCTCTGGATTTACATAGTTGCATAACTTGTACATTATATAGCTTTCTAAAACAAGCTAGTATGACCAAAGTTACAGGTGCTACCACTCCTCAGGATATCATACAGTATATTATAATATATTCTATAAATTTTGAATTTCATCACTAGTGAGATTTAAACACTTGTCCTGCCACTTGGAGATGCGACAACTTACCAATTTCACTAAGTCGCCACACCTTTCTATACAACTTTT